CTGCCTAGCTGGGGCCGAGTACAAATCGAAAACTTCTTTTTTTTTTGCAATGAATCGCAGGCGCGTCGAGCATTAGAAATACGAGGCTCATTCGGAATTCTAGCAACACCAACGAACTTTAGTGGAAACCCTAGAATTAATCCACTTTTGGTTGACGAAATACAACTCTGAAAAAAATAAGGTGTCATATGGAATTATTTATGGTTCTAGCCAAGATAATGACCCCTTTTAAGGTTTCACTCGGTCATTAATAAACCATCGAGGGTTCTATCTAGTTTAAAGAACCATCTCAGATCCTCAATAGTTCTGGATGTTTGAAAAAGTTCCATGCTGTACCATATTTTTTAATGCTGAACCATTTTTCCAAAGATGATTTTGGCTTGAAGCAAGATACTATTTTTTCGAAACGTGATTTAAGTAATATAAACCTCAAATAGGTTACTGAGATCGAGTAATCGAAATCCATTCTCATTTTTTTGATCAAAGCTCCCAATGATCAAAAATTGAGCCCATCAAAAAATCGAGGGCTGTAGAATTAGACTTTGTATTTCAACTCCGATCTAAATTCTGATCGAAGTTCGGAATAGGTTATTGATGTCCAGGAATCTGATTCCGTCATCATTTTTTCGATGCTAGGAATGCGATAGTTGAATGGTAGACCTGGGTAGTTGTGTCCGCAAAATGCATTCAACAATTAGTCGCGTCTTTTGAAGTGTGATTGTTCTTTATATTTTCCGATATGTCACATGTATGAATAGACAGGTAATGTCAATCTGATAAAATGAATTCAAGATTTTCCGTAGTTAGGTATGTATAAACAATCAATTCAAATGCAAGTTTTATATGATAAAATGAGTTAGCGTTTTTTAAATATTTTAGGTATACGGGAATAATATATTTAACGGTAAGTTGAATCTTACAATATAAGTCACTGTTCTCTTTTTGGTTTTGTTTAGGATTGTCTCAACATCAACTAACGGCGATGCCGCTTTCGTACGAATAATGGAGAAAGTACTAGTTCGTATTCTACTCACAAGAAATCTAGGTGAATATAACAGATAGAAATAAGGGTTATGGCTAGAATTAAGCGTTAACGATAGGAATTAGGATTAGCGTTAGGAATTAGGGTTAAGGATAAGAATACGGGATTAAGTATGAAATTAACGGTTGGATAAAACATTGGTCTAGAGTACTAGACTAAGTGAGTGTGGTGGACCACATTTTACTAAGATAGAACCATTTTTGGAAGAAATAGGAAAAAGCTCCAGCTAGAATCAGATTTTGCTTGAACCTTAAACGGTTCTGAAAATGGTACCCGAATCTAGAACCCTAAAAGATTCATTATGACACCTTTTTTTTCTGAGTAGACATACTAGAGAATTTCGAGAAGCTATCATATGATTTTTATCCATTTATAAAATTGTCTATTTAAACAAAAAGATTTTGATCTTTAAAAATATCATACTTCATTTGTTCTTTTATCAGAAGAAATCCTGTCGAATTAAGAATTCGATCACATAATCAGATCAAATTGTTGGTGAAAATATTCAATTTTTCGTAATGATCATATGGAACTATTGTATGTAATTACACATTTTCTTATTAAATGATACTATAATGTTACATTATTTAATAAAATTATTGTAAAATGTTGATCCCAAGCTTGTTGACTGTATATTTTAAAACTAGTTTCAGCTTGTTGAATATTCTCAATATGTAATTTTATCGAAAAACATTCTTTCAACAAAATCCAATCTAAAAACGACTCATTTCGCTCATATCTAATACTTTTATAAAAACAGTTCGATCCAAACTTTTCGAGATGAATTTATATGATAAGTAAATATAACTTGAATTTCCAATGAATTTCAAAATATGTATCAATTGAGTTTATCTATAATTCTGACGAATCCTGTTAGAAAACGAAAAATTGTATACTGGATAAATTGTTTTTTCACGTAATTTTCTGAATACAGCATCGTGAGTTGTACTAAAACTATCACGTTTAGGAAGAGAGTTTTGAAGTTATACTTGACAAGGCAGATGTCTTTTATATAAATAAAAGATAAGCGAATAAAGTAATTTAATCTAACTGCTGCAATTGAATTTGTTTTGTTACTGGAATATTTTCTTTTACAAACTTCTTCAAGTAATGAAAAATCTTTGTTTAGACTGCAAATAAATTTCAATAAGATCCTTTTTCTGCTAGATTTTGTTTAAGAAGTTGAATAGCATATTCTGCACCATTGTGGATCGATAAATGATATTATTTTTCTGTTGAATTTTCAAAAATTTTATTTTCTTAGTTAAATTAAATTCATACTGAAGACATTTTAAAAACAAAGAAAAATTAAGATCAACTTTTTAAGAATACAAACTGTTTATCCCTAATAAAAGGCCAACTAACTATGTACTGAACGCCAATATTGTCCGATAAATGTATTCAGTGTATTAGTAATCAATTTAGAAAACTGAAAAATAGCATGTCATATGTGTGAAGCAACCATCAGATTCAGGTAAGAATTAATCGAGGCTGGGTCTAAAAATCTTCGACTCGACGAGCTTTACCTTGCACCCATACCCCTGAGGAAATCTCTTATACCGATTGTTTCTATTCTATCAGAAGTTGAGAAGCATGTTTATATTGTCAACGAAAATTGTAACAACCTTGCTGATGATTTGACGTAAGATGAATCCGCCAGTATTATACAGTAAATGATGGGATGGGAGTCACACGTAAAAGCCCTTTTTTATGTTAAACGAGTCATTGAGATCAGGAGTTCGAGGACGAAAACTCGTACCATGATATTTGTTTCTAAGACTATTCCTCAGTGAACTTTTCCGTCAATATCTACAACGGTAGAAAATATCTGTTTGTGTTCTACAAGCGAAACAAATTTTGTGAAACAGCTGTTTATGTACTGTTGGAACTCCACGAGGTGGTACTTTGAGAATCGGTATGGTTGCGTCTTAAGTAACCAGAGTTGATTTTGATCTTGCTTAGGAATTTCATCAGATGACTTTCTATCTTCAACTCGATGAAAGAAAATTTGAAAGGAATTTTTTAAGCATATGAATTTATATCTCAAAAACTGCATTGAGGGCGACGTGTTGGTATGTATCTGTTTGTAGTCATCAGTTGTCGCACATCTACACCGATTCTTGTTACGATTGTTTGATCGTGTTTTATAGATATCAATATACTAATCTGTATTTTTTTAGTATGAAGCAATAATATAAACAAATTCTCGATAAATCATCGTAATCAATTGTTTCCGTTGAAAACATCGAACATATTGTTTTGAATTACATGATAATTATACGTATTTTGATTGCAGTATTTGCAATCATTTTGCATATCGAGTTATTTCTGAAAAGAACAGAATTGCAATCTTTTTTTTTACAAAATGAATATCGATAATATATATTGAAGAAGCTCCAACGATCAAAAACTTTTTAAAAAAGTATTGTTTTTGCGATAGTCTGTAACGCTCTTTCACAAGACATTATATTTATACAATAGAAAACCTATCGAAGAATAAATAGATGATATTTATAAATTTCAGAAAATTCAAGTGTGAAATTTTGTTTGATTGCATATCGCAAATGTCTTCATTCAATTCTAAAAATAAATAGAATGAAGGATACATTTGTTTCAATTTGAGTGTTTTTTCAACAGAAATGCATGACATTAGTATAATTAATGTTGTTGATATGATGGAGTGTGAAAATAGAAATATTTAACAATTATTTATCGATTGCTTTTTTTATATCATAAATGCGTTATCAATTGAAAAAAACAGAAAAGACTATTATTAACATGTAAATAAATATAGGAAACATTATTCATACATCAAACTCAACAATAGACTGAGAATTCCAGGTTCAATCATGGATCTGATCTATGTCAAGAAAGTCTTCGTACAAACTAGTCGCATATACTTCTTGCGTTCCATTGGGAGTTTTTACCTCTTTTATACACCAACTGATATAGCACTAGAAGTGTTTTCATTCTATGTAAAATATATTATCAAGTACACATTTTCCCTCTAAATGACACGTATCAATCGAGAACATCTGCAAAAGCGGATTGTACAACACTACATCAACGTAGCAAACAAACAAAAACAAATCACCGTAAATCATTTTTTACAAGAAAAGATTTCTCGGCAAACTATCTACAGCATCATTAAGAAGTATGAAGAATCAGGCTATGTTAGTGACAAGCCAAGATCTGGTTGCCCAAAGAAATTATCTCGTGGACAATTAACAAGACTCAAATGTCTTGTTAATAAAAAAACAGGAATTTCTTTGCGTCGATTAGCACCAAAGTTTAAAGTCAGTTATCAAACGGTCTCTAACCATTTAAAAGCTATGGGTATACAGTATTATAAAAAAATAACGTGCACCAAAATATACCGATAAACAACTTGAAGAAATCCCAACTCGCGCTCGACGACTATATCGCATGTTGTCGAACAATGATTTTGAATTAATAATGGGATGATGAAAAATATTTTTTATTACAAGATCAATCGGTACAAACTAATCGTGGATTCTACACGCCTGATAAATGTACTACAGCACCACAGATCAAATTTAAAAGAATTCAGAAATTTGAACCGAAAGTATTAGTTTGGATAGCAATGTCGGAAAAAGGAATTTCGAAGCCTTTTTTCTCAAAACAGAAGCAAGCTATTGGTCAAATCACTTATTTAAACCAATGTATTATAGCACGTTTAATGCCATTCATTACAAGTCATCATACCAAGGGGAAAGCATTGTTTTGGCCTGATTTAGCTTCAAGCCACTATGGCCACAACGTTTTACAGTATTTGGATCAAAACGACGTACAATTCGTACATAAAGAATTTAATCCTCAAAATTGTCCTCAAGCACGTCCAGTCGAAACATTGTGGTCAATACTAAAGAATATGGTATATGATGAAGGCTGGGAAGCTAAAACAATTAATCAATTACGTAGGCGAATTGCGAGAAAATTGAAAGAAATAGATATTAAAATTGTCCAACAAATATTTTTAGGCACACAAAAACAATTAAGAAAAATTGCTGATAATGGACCATATGAAGCTTGTTTTTCTTAATATAACGAACACTGATACATGTTTTTTCATTTGATATAAGAAATAAAAACTAAAAGCGTCACGTTGAGAAAAAAAACATAAAATCGACTTTGTACGAAGACTTTCTTGACATAGGTTAATACCATTAGCAATAGTTAATAATGAAGAGTACATATATATAATTACCTTTTGGGGATTTGATGTTAGGAAAATCCTCATTAATTGATCCTGCATTTATACTTTCTACTATTAAATTTCTTTTGTTTTTCATAAATGAATGACTGAAATTGAGAATCTTAGACTAAAGTAATAATCAATATATACTGAAAAACATTTAAAATATTAAATTTTCTACACAAAATAAAATAATAAATTAAATTCTGTTGATATATGAGAATGAATGCAACAGACTTGAAGTCAGTATCTTATGCATACTTTGAGTTTTTCTTGTAATCAAAATATTTTGATGAAAATAATGTTTTTCTATAAATCAGTGATTGCCAATATTGGAGTAGAATGTGGGTGTAGAATATGTTGAACTGAAAGTATACAAACCTAGAACCACACTTTGGTTTAATTGTGTTGTTCAAGGTATTAGGGGTGACCCTTTATCTTTATTTTCCTTTATACTAAAGGATAAAGATAAATGAATCCTTTATCTTTAGAAAATAAAGGTAAATGATTGAAAAACCATCTATAATTTAGTTTTTTAAACATAGATGGATCATTTTTCTTTAGCAGATAATAGGAAATGATTAAAAAACAATTTATCATTTATTTTCGAAAGATAAATGAATCATTTATCTTTATTTAGTAAAGTAACACTAAATGACCACCCCTACAAGGTATTCAGTACATACAAATCATTTTTGTTTAATTTTCTCTTTTAATGATAGCATCGTCATGAAACACGTTACACATCAGTAATGTGTTCCTGCGATTTGATTTGGTTGAAGTCAAAAGAGAATGAAGCCGCCTCCTGTTGCTTTCCTATTTTTTTAATTATGTGCATTTGTTTTAGCGACGTCATTGCACAGTAGTACAGCTATACCTTGAAACATATTTGTCACACGATCGCAATCAATAGAAAGTGATTTGTTCTATGAATCATGGCATAATTAGTTTTTTCGTCAAATTATATAGTAATGCGCATGTAGCGTATATTGGACCCTATAAAAGAAAGTAGCAAAAAATAACTATTGCAATAAGAAAAAATTCAATAAATACACGACAAACGAAACAAACAAGCAACTAAGCAGTAACATGTTCGGACAAGGTGAAGGTCGTCGTGAAGAGGAAAGAAGAGGTATGGAGCATGTTTTTTTTGAAATATAGAAGCTATAGGTTATACATTTATATTAAAGAAGAGATGATGGGTGGTGGTGGAGGATATCCAGGCAGTATGATGGGTGGCGGAGGATATCCAGGTAGGATGATGGGTGGAGGAGTGAGGGTCAGCAAGGTGGCATAATTGGAGAAGCTGAGCGTATGCTAATGGGCGGAGGAATGGAAAATCAGCAAGGTGGTATAATTGGAGATGCTGAACGTATGTTAATGGGCGGAGGAATGGGAAATCAACAGGGTGGATTTCCTGGCGGTGGAATGGGGGGTATCTTCTAACGGCTGTGCCTTAATAAAGTAGACTTAACGTTATTACATTTTTTTTCTTACTTGTTTCTCAAATAAAATTTATTTTAATACCAGCAGATAGATTTCCACGCTCTACAATATTATATCTTTATTTTAAAAAGTATATTCTCCTTCAAGTCGTAGCATTTCCTACACTTGGTTAGTCCGGGCTTTTATACTACGATGCACTACATCCATTCTTATCTTTTTAACCCTCGTTGAGTTTGCTTAATTAATGCTTGTTTCTTTTCAATAAGACTTTAGTCGATCTGCTAGCCAAGTTCAGACGATATTAAATAATTCAGAGAGTTGAGAACCAGATTATTACGTGGTCAACGTCCACAAGTTCAAAAATTTGGAAAAGGAACCTTGCACTATGATTGTGCTTATTCATCGGTATGTGCCATAGGAAGAATTTCTTTGGTGCATTTTGATGTCCAGTTCAATGTAGAAGGTGTATATTCATGAATATAATTGTTTTGATTCATGGGTAACAATTTGAGTATAAATTTAATTGATATAACAGCAGCTCTAAATTTCGTCTTGTTTTAAATGAATAATATTTTATTAAATTATTATTTATTCATTTATTTGTGTAAGATAAAAATATATTATTGTCGACTTTTCGACAGATAAACTGTCATTTTCAAGACGTATGATTAAGAGAGAATTTGACAAAAAAAAATGATATAGGAATAAAGAACGAAAAAGGCGATTGTCGTGGGACAATACTATCATTCCAATAACATCTATGCTATTTTCCTTTCTCACTTTCCATAGATGTCATAATACCGTTACACTGGGTATCGTGATTTCAAAGTCATAATACCCATCGAATTCTTTTTGGGGTATTACCCCTAGGGTATCCACTTTTATATAACTATATGTTTAAAGTTGAGGAATTCGGAGCAGCTGCCTAATTCCACATCGAATGTAAACGATATTTTCGAAGAATCCATTGATGGCCTTGAGTCTGCTACAAGTATACCTGCGATTGCTTTAATAATTCCTGAGGTTTCTACCAGCATACACGAGGTTGCTACAAGCCTTCACGAGGTTGCTAGAAGCATTTCTGGGTTTGCTGCAAGAATTTGAGTGCCTTCCAGATGTATGCGCTACTTTGTCGGAAGTTGGTTGTAATAATTGTAACAAGATGAGGCTCAGTTGCAGTAACCTCTATAAAGTATCTAGCAGCTCTGGTATATGCTCCGGTACCTGTGGTGTGTCTCGCAGGACTCACACCGTACTGTCAGCAACGCCAGGCAAGGTTCTCAGAAGTCGAGGAATAATCTAAGCAACTTGATCCATGGTTTCAGGAATTTCACGCATTCTTTCAGAAGCCTCAGACATTCGTGTAGTAACGTCCGGTTTGCTTCTAGCAGCGACAGGCTTCCGTCTACCAATGTTACGCATTTGTCAGAAATCCATAGTATGCTACTAGGAATCATACTTTATGCTATGCATTTCAGCCTTAGTAATATGCATGTTTAAATTCAAATTATATAAAATACAATTCAGATAAAATGATATCATTTCCTTTTTCCTGTAGCTATATCTGTACCTTAAACTTTTCCGAAATGTTATTGGTCAGTATATGCATCAATTATATTCAAATTTGAATTGAGCATCTTATGCGAATTTCAGTTGTTTTGGTGTATTTCTTCTAGGATATCGATTCCATAGGCTGAAAGGATAGGGTCTAGAACCGTAATGCACCTGTGTCTGTCTGTAACAATCGCACAAACAGCCATTTCTATGGCACAATTGAGCATTCCTGTGGTCCAAATGACCATTCTTACGGTCCAAATGACCATTTCCGTTATACAAAATGATCATTCGTATTGTACAAATTACCATTTTTATGGCACAAGGGGCATTGTTACGGCACAAACCATGAGCGAATGCATGGCATGGTTATGTGAAATAGTCCGCTCTGGAGATGGGGTCAGTGAAAGGGCCGAGCTGATCCCCCTGCGAACCTTTGAACTAATCATCACAAAATTTCTGAATCATGTATTTTTGTGGCTAGATAAAACTCAGCCTCTTCCCCGCCTTAAAGACCTTTGAGTTTCATTCTGTCCATATATCGTCTTTACTTTTAGTGCTTTTAATTGAAACCTTTAATTTTCATCTAATTCTTAGTTCAGTTTCATTTATTTCCCCTCCATTTACAGATCTGTTTGAAAATATCATCACCAACTGCTGGCACAAACAATCTATTTTCTGTCCTGCCCATGTATTTCTTTTCCTCAAACTGTCAGTCTAGGGCCCAGTGAATCGACTTTCGATGTCGATGAACGTTACTTGTAAATATGAAACAGAGTTGATTCGTACGTTATCAGAGTCGCTTTTAATGGTAGATAGCATATCATAGTATGTCAACCATGGGCGTTTTTCAATTTCTAGATTTTAACTACATTCAGTAATTCATGTGGAAGAGCTTGTATACCGAAGCACGAAAAGCATGAAATTCAACTAATTAGTAATTTTCAGATGCGAAATTGTGATTTCTCTCATAACCTACAGCCCTACGTTGAAGCATCAGTATTTTTCTATAAAATTCAATAGTCATTTCCTGCTATTTTCAACATAACATTCAAGAGCTAGGTTATAATCATTCACTTCTCTTTGTTGTAGAATTCGTAATTACGTTTACTTTATTCATGAAAAGAAAGTGTTGACTTACTTTTTCTCACTTGATTTGTTAGCTGTGTTGTAGATTATAATATGTAGCTTTTACTATCTAGAACATATAGAAAAATACACCTGGTTATCAATATTAAGGAGAAAAATACAAAAGCCCATCTTCTATGACCGATCGATCTTTGTTCACGGAGTGTCAAAAAATCGAAAGTTCATGAAATATCTGAGCTGTATGAATAAACTTAGCATAGCTTTATGAAAAAACAAAGACGAATCTCAAAAAATTTCATGAAACCCTCATTTTAGGAACTTAGAAAAACGAATTAAAGTTGATCAGTCAAATCTCGTATTCAACAGATAATAGTGTTTTTGCAATGAATTTCAATACAATGTTTAATCAAGTTCGCTGCTAATATGACAAATAGAAACAGTTTTTTTTTTAACAGAAGATAACCAATTTATTGCTCGATTCCATAAGTTAAGGATAAAAATATCTTTGGCATAGGATAAAGAGTTAAAAGTAGCAGAAAGAATAAAAAATAAAATATCATTTTAGTAGGTTTTAGTTTCAAAGAATACTTCAATATTAATATACGCTATTTCAGTTAAATATTATCTTGGTTCATTGTCAATAATTGATAGTAAGAACCACGTGCATTCAATAGATCATCATGTGTTCCTGATTCGACGATATTGCCTTTGCTATTCATCACGTAGATAAGATCACAGTTGCGAACAGTTGATAGACGATGTGCAATTATCAGGCATGTACGAATTTGATCGGATCGTATTTTATCGATGGCTTGTTGAACCACCTATTATCATCAAATAAAAAACAAAGCATGTATTGATTAATGAATAAAGCAGACAACATACAAAAATCTGACATTCAACTCTGATGAGTTGTATGCAGTTCTTTAAATCAATATCTTCGTACAATATGTACTGATAAGAGTATAATTTGAATCGCTTTAAATTCCATTCTAGTCTTTGATTCGAGTTTTATAAAAGACACAAATATTTTATCAATTATTTCTTGGCTTAATTTTAGTGTCAAAAACTAAAAACTGTAACTTTTCCCTTATATTTTACTGAAACAATCAATACTAAATTTAGTTTATATAGCGAATGGATGACTGATGAAAGAATATTGATACAATGCAGCTATACTAGAAGTTTAACTTACATTTAGAAGGAAATTTATAAATGACAAATCAATTATTTACTAGTGTACAAGTTTTTTAAACATAAAATGTATTGAATGTAAGGTGCCCGCAATTCAAAACTACAGTAAAACGTTTTTCGACGATATTTATACATGGTTGGGTAGAGCATAATATTGTACCTAGGAAAAAAAACTTTGGAAATATTAAAAACTAATTTTGGAAGAAAAAAATTTGATGACCAAATTTTTGAAAATAGCTGTTTTTAAGCAGTGAACTGGCAATATTTTTTTCTCATTGCTGTGAACCTTTTGAGGGTGCTTTTTTCTGATTCAACATATAAATTTGTCTATCACAATGCATGGCTACCACGAATCAAATATAACGGGATCATAATTTTACTTTCGACCCTAGTGATCCCTATGACATATCGATGGGTGTCCTTCAAAAGCAATGAAAGGTTTTTAGGAATGAAGATTTAGTTCCTCTTTTCATTTCATTATAACTGTTACATGTTCTAGAAAACAGATAAGTAGCTTTTTGTTCTTACTGGTTGTTTCTGTGGAAAAATTCTATTTGATTGAATCTTTCAAAAAGGAGAAGGTGGTTTTACAATACTAATACTTTTAGATCTATTTCAAATTTTATTTTAAGACATTCACACGAGTTAAAAACTATGTAGAGTATAAGAGATATGTTGCCGAGNAAAAATTCTATTTGATTGAATCTTTCAAAAAGGAGAAGGTGGTTTTACAATACTAATACTTTTAGATTTGTTTCAAATTTTATTTTAAGACATTCACACGAGTTAAAAACTATGTAGAGTATAAGAGATATGTTGCCGAGACCCTTTTGAAAATGTCCAGATGTTAAAAATACAAATTTTAACTAAAATTTAGGTTTTTACGGACCTAATACAAAATGTTTTAGAGACGAAGAACTTAATTTCTCTATATTTTGTGATTATTTCCAGGATTATTGTTTTGTAATTTGTTCGATCATATAAAATCCCAAGTTATCGAAACGACGAGCACGCTCATGGAAAGCATTGTCAAAACGTCATTCTTATCATATTATTGTCGGAGAGCAAGGATTCGGTGATGATAGTGTGACTGACGTGAATGATACTAAGGAAATATAGTTGACTGATGATGATGATGTTAATAATCTTAATATGAAAATGCAGCTATCAAATATCGCTGTTTTACTTGAAATATGCAAAACTGAATGTAATTCACGAAATCTGAATGTTATGGTATATATGATATTGCAAGACTTCAATGTGAATTGGTGAAATTGTGAAAAAGTTTTGAAAAAAATTGGTTGTGACCATTAAAATAGATAATAAATGGGCACACGTTTTCATTGATGATGACTAGGAAGAAGTTGAATAAGATAGTCGTGGTGGTAAAAGATTTGGTTCATTTTTTGATTGGTATCCCGAAATCGAAACGGAAGGTAAAATATATGTTACAAATGCAGGTTCAAAATATCAGCTGCCCTCAACGTATGTGACTTACAAAACGCATTAATAATAGATTTTATGTATTAACCGGTCAAGTCAAGATACATAATGAATTAGTTCGTTCGGAAATCATGTGTTGATTAGATTTGAGACGTTGGAGTTAGGGATGGTGTAATGATAAACATGGTATCCTGTTTGGGTAGATATGTTAATGACAAACTGGATAGAGATGAAGTAGCTTACAGCCACTCTCGGTAATGATGTTTATTTGCTTCTTCACATATCCAGAGTGGAACAACTTCACACATAGCACACGTATATATAGGAGAGAGGTAGAAGAGAGACAGGAGAGATATATACTAGAGCAATCGGAAGACAATAGAAAGAGGATGAAGGAGAATCATCGAAGTGTGCCATCAATACCGGCACTGGTGGCACTTTAACTTTGCTTTAATGTTAAAGTTAAAGTGCCACCGCTAGTTGGGATTTTAAATTTCTACCAAACTCGCAAAGACCATACTTCGAGGGACATGAGAGACCCGATGTTATGACTCAGCGGGAACAATTTACTAATCACTTTTTAACACGAAAAGACGATTACTGTTTAGTTACTGAAGGTGGTAATCTCAAATGGGTAATACCGAATAAAGATTCATGCATTTTAATGTGTAAGTGCATTTTATATACCGTTAAATAATTGTTCTTTTTTTTGTATAGAAGAAGATAAGAAGAATACCCTTGCCTTTCGGCTACCTTTCAGTATAGGATGCTGTCTAAGGACAGCTTTATTAGCCAAATATTTTCCTACAACTATTACTAGATCTAGCTCTGGACAGAAGGCTGGCCTGACTCAGAGTTCCTCTCGCTTAATCACTTAAGCTTCCCATACATACTGACTAACCACAAGGGCATTGGTGTATGTCAACAACGTAGTCAGTGCGCTATCGATGGATGGTCCGAGAGAAGTAGTCGTTAGTTACTTGTCCAAGGTTATTCTATGGATGGATGGCGCCGAGGTTCGATCACAATATCTTGTGAATATGTGGCGAATATCTTAACCATTCAGCTATAGTGACTCTTTTTTCTATCAAGCCATGATGAGTCCACATTTAGATCTGGAGAGGCATGTGTTAAAAGGTGATTGATGGAAGAGCAATCATCATTTTATAGCATAGGTCGTGGCCGATCTGTTATCATTTCAGATTTCCTTGTTCAACATCCAAGTGAACCATTTTTTAATTAAAATGATAATGAGTGGTGTCCATTAGTGAAAAAGTCTCCTGGGTTTGTTACAAGAAAGTCCTGTTCAATATGTACCCCAATCATCGGAAAGAAGCATAATTGTTGGTATTGATAGTTATTGTGATAATGAAGCAGTTCTTTAGCAATTTGAGTGATTATTTTAAATGCTAGAATTTAAAAATGATTATGGTAAATCGATTGACACCGCTTGTCCGGTGAAAAGTATTGAATATTTTGATGAAAATAATCAGCAACATATAATGCAGTGTTATCCCATGTGATTCAAGCCGGAAAAAGCCGGCGGCATATCCACGGCCCACCGTTCGGTATAATGTGCGCTCTACCGACGGCATACTGTCGGTTTTTCATGAAAGTGATGCATCCTTTTGTACAGTACCCACGAGGATTATTTCGACAATCGAACCCAATAAGATCCTATAGGATTCCGATCGGATTTTATATAAATTTCCAATAAAGCAGCGAATTCCTATCGGATTCCGGGTTGTAAAATGATATTCGGATCCCTAGTGTCGGAATAACATTGTATAATCATCGGAGCCTACTGTCGGATTGTGACGAACCCAACACTCGACTCGGACTACCTTCTAGTGTTGGCTTGCGGTACTAATTAGTGGTCAATTAATTAAATCCTTTTTTCCGTCGGATCCGTTAGTGATTCCGTGACCCGGAATCCCATCAGATTTTATAAGCTGGTTGGGTCCGGTATAGGATTCATTCACCTGGGTATAGAAACGAATGAATATTTTTTAAGCCTGTTAAGACCGGCAGAGTCGTGTTGAATTCAATGCACTCTGATAATGTCAATGCGCCTGAGCCGCCTGTGATAGCCACAGATCTCAAATCAGTCCCATTTATGAAATAAATATTTTATTGAAGATGCCACTGAAAATAATAATTCGCAAAATATATTCTAAAATAGTTTTGTTTTCGATTAATTCGAATTCTTTTTTCGAAATAAATCTGGATTTAACAAAGAACAGTTGCTGAAAGCCTTTATAGCTGGGACCAGAGCTTATAAGTGCTACCGCCGGTTATTATCAGTATCGCGGTATACCGGCGGTAGTGACAAAAAAATGTGTGACATGGGATTTTACAAACGGATCAAACAAAAAGAAAGAAAGGTAAAGGTCTTATGATCATGGCCTATCAACTCAACGTTTCTGTTCCAACGAGTTGTAAACTCGATGAATTACATAGTATGCTTAGCCAACATCGATGCTTTCAAAATATAAACAACTTGAATAAATAAGCGTTAGCCTTAAACATATAGCTTTACATTTTTTACTTTTCCCCTGAGGTCTCTAATCTAGAGCTACTAGCCAATCTTTATAATATTAAAATACTCTTTTTTCCTAAATACTATTGGGAAATAAACCCAATCGAAGGGTTTTGAGGCAACATTAAACAACACATTCGACGTCGAAATGATCAAAATATGAGAACTATGCTGAATCTGATTCCCAAATAAAGATTGCATTTTTTGAATCAAAATATCAATCAAAAATTATACCGACGTTTTTGGAAAGCAGTAAAGGCATAAAATGATGGATAGAACTATGGTGACGTGCTGCAGCTATTTTCAGTCAGTTGTGTAAAACAGAAGTTGTGCCACACCGAAAAATTACGATAAGCAATATAGATAAATGAAGTTTAATTTTCAAATAGTTTTCAACACTTCTACATTTCATAAAACGTTTCCAGTTTTGTTCTTGTAGAATAATTTCAGCTGCTGAAAAAGTTAAATAGATTTTATCGTAAACCGCTTAAACTTTTAGAACAAACTTCATTAAAAGAAAAATTAGAGCATATTTGATTATTCGTCTCTAAAATATTTCGTATTAGGACCGTAAAAACCTAAATCTTAGTTAAAATTTGTTTTGTGAATATCTGGACATTTTCAAAAGGGTCTCGGCAACATCCCACGTCGAGCAATCCAACAGTGCGAACCAATCGGAGCCCATCCGATCCGACTCGCATCCAGTAGGATCTTGTCGGATCCTAGAGAACTATTATCAGACTCGATGTGGGATTTCTCGACCTGGGGTATCTCTTATACTCTACATAGTTTTTAACCCATGTGAATGTCTTAAAATAAAATTTGAAATAGATCTAAAAGTATTAGTATTGAAAAACCACCTTCTCCTTTTTGAAAGATTCAATCAAATAGAATTTTCTCACAGAAACAACCAGTAAGAACAAAAAGCTACTTATCTGTTTTCTAGAACATGTAACAGTTATAATGAAATGAAAAGAGGAACTAAATCTTCATTCCTAAAAACCTTTCATTGCTTTTGAAGGACACCCGTCGATATGTCATATGGATCACTAGGGTCGAAAGTAAAGTTATGATCCCGTTATATTTGATTCGTGGTAGCCATGCATTGTGACAGACAAATTTATATGTTGAATCAGAAAAAAGCACCCTCAAGAGGTTCACAGCAATGAGAAAAAAATACTGCCAGTTCACTGCTTAAAAACAGCTATTTTTGAAAAATTTGGTCATCAAATTTTTTTCTTCCAAAATTAGTTTTTAAAATTTTAAAAGTTTTTTTTCCTAGGTAAAACATTATGTTCTATCCAACCATGTATAAATATCGTCGGAAAAAAATCTTGCTGTACTTTTGAATTGCGAGCATCTTAGAAATATTCAATGTTCTACTACTTTCTATAGAATGCCTTATTTTGTCTTGTTATATAACCGACTACTTGAGCGTCAACAGTGATGCAGCTACAATTCGAAAGCATATGTAAACTATTCACATGATTCACCTCAACACAACTAGGGCTCTTGTAGTTCTAGCTTTAAAATCTCTCCTTCCTTCGATGGCAAACGTGGTTGATTAAAATTTCGATAAATAATCTAGTAAATATCAATATACTTGAAAGGATTTGTATGTTATACGTTAAAATTATTTTCGAGTTGATAGATTAACAATGACAAGATAAAAAAAGGTTGAAGTATCTTTTGAAAAGGCATTGAGCCGTGTAAATTAGCTTGCATTCATCGAAAGTGCTGTCATCTTAATGTAGTATCACTAAAGAAGCAACTCCTATCATAAAATAAATACAAAATGATAATGGAGTTTAGGGTAAATGAGAGCTTACGATTATGTTTCAAGATCAATTATAAGGAATTATAACAACCTATCAAGCTTTTATGTTGTGCCCGTCGTATCAACAGCACACTAGACAATGTACTTCAGCAAAAAATGCGAATCGATTTAATTTATCGATCTGAATTTTTTTTCAATTCCGTACAAATTAGTGCATGAATCGAAAACTGTCAAGCTCGCCTTTCTATTTAATGAATGTTTTCTATCTAAGGAGCAGAACAAACACTAAATGCAATTTGCTTAGAAAAAATAGCTAAGGTTGTTTATTACCCGTTAGGTTATACTTTCGTAATTCCGAACAAGCTTAAAATGTAACGAATACAGATTACAAAAATGTGTAGACAGTCCATATTATCCGATACATTTGCTCCAATGTGTATGGCTTGATATGAAGATTTCCTGCTCTGCTATTAATAAATACTATAGTAAGCAGTAAAATATTTTAAAAAGGCAGCTCGTATATTTTTGCCCATCTATCATAAGTATATTTTTCAAAAAAAATTGTTTTCTTCTCGTCTATTTTGTAGATTTTTTATTACATACGCGGAAAAAATTTCTGCTATTACGTGAAAATATGATAGTTCACTGCTATTTAAATCAATCTGAAAGAAAATTATCTCTAGTGTTTTTTTGGTGCATCATTTTGTCATCATGATAAACACGGTGTCAATGATGAAAGAAGACTTCACATTTAACAAATATTTATTCGCGATCATACGTTATACTATGGAATTGAAAAATGACTTACTGTTTCATTGGCATTATCCAGCGCACTTGTTGCTTCATCAAAAAGCAATATGCGTGGATTGTACATCAATGCTCGCGCTATGGCTATGCGCTGCTTTTGACCAGTTGATAGTTGCGTCCCATTATAGCCGACAATTGTCTCATAAGTCTGTAGGTAAAAAATAATAAAAGCTGTCAAAGTATGAGAAAATTTTAAATGTAAACAAAATTAAAATTACATTTGGTAGCGATTCGATAAACTCATGAATATTGGCTTGTTTCGCAACATCGATAACCTCATTCAATGGTACATTATTACGTAAATATGAACAACCATAAATAATATTTTCTCGTATGGTGCCAGTAAATAGAAAATGTTCTTGATTGACCAGACCGATTTGAGAACGTAACCACTGTATATTCAATTCACGAATGTCAATATTATCAATCAACTACGGGAAAAATGAAAATTTTGTTTTAAAAAAAAAAACCAATGATTTTTTTGTGTGATGATCAACATACCAATCGACCATGATCAACATCATAGAATCTTTCGATAAGAGACGTAAGAGTCGATTTTCCAGATCCACTTGGTCCTATCAGAATAGTATATTTCGTTTTAATTCGGTCGACAAGGTCATGGTATATATTATCCGAAATCTCTAAAAATTCTTTCACTCTTACTAGAGAACAGAAAATTGAACAGCTCGAAAATAACAACAATAATTAGAAAGAACCGATGAAGCTTTTCTAATTGAAACTATTGAATTCACAAGCAATAAACCGCGTTCATAAATCCTAGTAGCATTTATGTTCAATATCTTGTTTAACCAAGCAACAAAGGTTCTCACGAACATATCAAAACAAAGAGGTTGTCACTGCTAGTAATAAAACGAACAGTCAATTGTATCAAAATATCATGTTGCTTGTGAATAGTTCATATATTTTTATTCTAACAAAATTTACAAAAAGGGTTGAAAACAAATCACAGAAATCATTACTGAACATGATAAAATCAAAGAGGACTCAACTTATTGTAGCTGGAAAGAGTGTTAAGTGAACTGAAAATAACTAATAAGGCACAAAAAAGCTGTTGCAGTATTGCTTTGAGCTTTTTTTCTAGTTTTAATAGTTTCTGATAGAAAATTTTGTTTTTTCCTTACAAAGACTCAATATATGGTTCGCTATAGAAACAAAATACTGTCAATATTATTCAAATCTGAACAAAGAATTGACTTTAATAGTACTGTAAATTTCAAAAAACACCACTCCAAGTTTTACTTCTTTTATATCGAGTGAATTTGTACAGAATCAAAATCTCTGCCCTATTTGTATGTTGAAATTTTTTTAAAGTGATTTTTATCAACTCAGAGACTATTAAATTTCTATAGTTTGGCAAAAGATGATTTTTTTTATTACAATCGACTTTTTCTTTGAAAAGCTAAACCAAAATCTGTTCATGTATTTATGTTAGTGAACTTTTTTTCTTTTATTCAAGGCTACTGACAAGGGAAATGTTGCAGTCGTTCAATCATTTCTCGATTAATACTATATTTTGGATCATAAAGCTCAGTGGCTTCTTTGAAAATCTAAATGAATTCGTTCCTATGATGCTTTCTTCTTGAAATAAGAATTGGTCGTCCAAATTGCTATTAAAGGTTGATGATCATCTTCTGCTCATAGTGACAATAAAATTTCTACTTTTGCATTGAAAATAAGCATTAACAAAGCTAGCCATTTAACTCATTCATTTTAAATATCAATGAGCATCTACATCTGTTCTGATTACATGGATATTGATAATTTCCTAATAGTAAGAGACAAGGATTCCATCTCGGTAGACTGGTATCTCATAATACAAGATACTAAAAGCAATGAGACTCTAACTAACTAATATCATAGTCCGCTTGGTTAGGACAAATTATCTAATGGAAAGTTCAAAATTGACCTTTCTTATGTCTAAAGAAGAATATTGACTTCTTGCTAGAAAATTTAATGAAAATTCGATAAGAACAAAAGCTGAAATAATCGAAGCTATTTAGTTTTTAGCAGTACCGACATTACTATCAAACTAATGTAGTCTTATTTCGAATCCGATTGAATAGCATGGCAACATTGCAACATTAATTAAAAGCATAGAACAGAAGTCAACTGAAATACTTATACATTGTTTGATCAGTTTCTGTTTCTCGGTCGAATTTTCCACGCTCTTTTTTTAACTTAGTTGAAAGATTCATAATGTTATTTAACAAACCGAGAAAATTCGCGAGGGTTGATAGAATTTACGTTGCAGATACGTAATAAATCAGTGAAAACTGATATATATATATATATATATGAGATCCAAAAGCTATAAGTACCATTCATTAGTATTTCTGTCAAATATTGAATACTACCAGAGCGTTTCAGCAGTAAGGAGGAAAATTGAAAAATTTTGAAGATTTTTGAATGCAAACTTACACTAACTATTATTTTATAGAGTTTGATCGAAAGTAGTGATTCTTAATTTGAACGAAAACCTCAGGAGCTTATACCTTCAAACATCGGCCAATATAAGTTGACTTTTTAATCCTAACTGTGGCATGTTCAAATACAATTTTGAAGAAGATAAATCAATCAGTAAGTACGTTTTTTTAATGGTATATTTATTGATGACTTCATTTCTATGTCAAATTTTATTCATATATGTGGGTAGAACTTGCTGGTATAAATTCTACATTTCGGAGGCATTTCTAACTACATTAATACAATTTTTGAGAGAACAAAAGATTCAGCGAAGTAACATCATTGATCAATATTGAGCCGCAGTTGCAGAACTAAACATGTTCAACGAACAGTAACAGTAATCAAGTTCGTGTTACTTAGAAAAAATTCACGTTTCAATTGTTTCTGATGAATTTGATTGGTGAAAAAAGATAGAAAATTTTTCGATTTCGATAATATTCATTATTTATGTTATAATATAGCTCGTTAGTCAATTTATATTTGATCCTAAACTCACCGACAATAGCGACGGATTGTCCTAAAACAAATAAAAACAAAACAAATGAGTTCATTAGTTCATACGAAAAGATTCTTTGTCATTCAGTAGTTATCATGCATTCTTACCTGATTTGATATGAAGATTAAAATTTTTGTAAATAACTCGATTAGGTCGACTCGGATAAACAAAGTGAACTTGATCGAATTTAATGTCTCCTTTCAGATCAGTCTAATTTAAGTAATAAAAAAAATAAATTAAATAGATTCTTTTTTGCTATGATTCACAAACAATTTCCATTCCATCTGTAGAATTATTATCAATTTTCGGAATAAGATCAAACAAATCAAGAAAACTTGCTACAGCTGACGTAGATTGTCCTAATTCGTATATTCTGAAAGAATACATAGAGAAATTATGCATCATAATGTGTACATTTTTTCGATTCTATAACTTACAACATATAAGCAAAGTTAGTTGAAGCCAAAGCGAAAGAAATATATGCATAAAGCCTAAAATGAATATGCGTATTGCAGGGAATGAATGTAGATTTTCTTACCAAATTAAATCTTTTGGTTGTAATACGCCATGATCAACGAGGATAAGAGCCGATTCATATAATGCAGATGCGACAAACCACGGAAAAGCGAAATTAATACTCCATACCGCACTATGAATGACACAATATCTGCGTGCTATTCTGAAATGATAATAATCGCAAGGTAATTCAATTCTGAACATCTTAGAATAAAGCATACTTTAAACATTGATTCGTAAGCGATTCATATTTGGCTGCCAACGACCCTTGTTTATTCAATTGATGAACAGTTCGAATATTATTCATGGATTCCATCGATAGCTGAAATGAAAGTTTTAAGTGTCACAAATACCCATTTTCAACCAACTTACAACGCTAGCTTGTTCCAATGTTTCTCGCTGTAGTGATGTAGACAATGTAATTAATCTAGCTTCAAAATACAGGATTAGGATAAATATACATATGAATGAGTATAGTATCATAGTAAGTTGCCAATTAAAGATGAATCCAAATATGAGACCAGTGCCAAAAAAAAATACTGCAAGAATAATCATCGATAGCCGAATGCCTACCAACTAAAGAGTAAAAAATTGAATTAAAAAATTTAACAACTATGTACGTGTCGGCAATATATAGCTAGTAATGTGGAATCAGTGAGAAACTCAAAAACATTTGATTCTCTCATCCTAAATTTTTATTGGAATAGGAAAAACAGAATCCGGGAGAGTATGAAAAACTTGCCACGAAAAGAAAACCGCGTTTTTCAGCGGTTTGCAAAAGACGAATAAATACGGTCTCACTCCCGTGGTTGGGTTGCTCTCAATTCATCCCCCAATTCAATGGCTATTAATTCGTGACTAATTTGATAAACAGATGATTTTCAACAAACCAGCTGTTTTATTCAGGAGTAATATCAGGAACAAGAAGAAAACAAAAGAAACAAAAATCATTTAACAAGTTTTTTCTTCAAAGCGAGTCCGCATTTAATCGCGAGTTGCATATCAGTGATCAATCCACGCTTGTGGTCATTAAGAAGGAGCTCGACATTCGGGCACTCTACGCAATAATTCGATAAAGTTGAAGACGTGCGAATGCACAGGGAACTGACATTTGAGTCGTCGATTAAGGCCCTCAACGTAGCTCTTCGTGTTTGGCAAGTCGCCAAACGTCTGGGAGACTGAGATCGACCAATGACTTCGGTAACGATGGATAGTTCTTCGATCGACTTCGATGCAGCGAAGCATCAATATTCTCAAATGTAGGAAAGAATAGACCAATTGGTATACCGGGATGACTGATACGAGCTTTAACGATTTCTTGTGTATATATTTTGGGAATCGGCGTGGTCTCCTCTCGTGCACGTTTTTTCATATTGCCAACTGCTTCATCGACTGTAAAAGAGAAAGCGTGCTAGTACCACCGTGATCTCTACAACGCCACTTGTTGCTCGTCTTTCGCACACGCTTTTTTTGTGTATTCATGAGAATTGTAATTCAGTATAGGTTGACCGCGTTCCGAAGACGTGAATAGCAGCATTTCTCAGAGCATAGAGAATGTCAGTAGTGAAACTAATACACTACTAAGAAAGCACATCATATATATATGCAGAGTGCTCTACGCAGCAATCAATTTTCATATTGATGACTTTATTCTTATATTTGTTTTTAATTGTTTCTGGACAGGAGCGGGCTCATTGGGGGGACGCATTGCGAGTCAATTAATGGGAGACCAGTTGAGATAATTGACAAGGGGAACCAATCAAGAGGATCCCACGTGGGTTATTAAAACTTCGTTTTTTTCGAACAAAGCCGCAGCTAACCGCGGTTTTTCGAAAACGTTTTTCGTGGGTTCTATATTTGATGCACAGAAAATCTTATTTCCTCATAAGATGCACTAATTCAGCAATCGTACCAATTTATTTTCCGCTATATTTTTACATTCTTCGAAAGAGCTCAGCGAGTTCTACAAAAATATCTACATTAAAAAATTTTGAGTTCTTATAACGTGATCAAATTTTCAAAACAAGTCGATTTTTCTATACAATAGACAAATGTTGAATTTTTTATTCGACTTCTTTGTGTAAATCATTCGAAAACGTGTACATTGGATTCAATGTGAAAAATTGCATCTAATGATGTACTTTAAAGTACATCATTAGATGCAAGTTTTAACACTGAATCTAATGAACATGTTTTCGAATGATTTACACAAAGAAGTCGAATAAAAAATGCAAAATTTATTAAAAAATTCAACATTTGTTTATTGTATAGAAAAATCGACTTGTTCTGAAAATTTGATCATGTTATAAGAAATCAAAATTCTTTAATGTAGATATTNCAGCATTTTCTGACTTTATAGAGCATTTTTTGAAGTCAATTTTACACAAAAACTTATTTACTATGATATCTAAAACTATTCTTTCAAGCGATGCTGCAGGTTTCCATTTTTTCTTTCGTTTTCGTCATTAATTGAATGTACATATTATGGAGAAAACTATATAGGTCTACGAAAAATAGAAATATGAAAATACATATTAATATATGGTCAGCAGATTACATGTTGTTGAGATTGGCGTTGATTATTTTTCCATGAGAAGCTACTGTTGTTGTACTGCTGGCACTAAAAAATAGTTTCAAAACTTCATCATAAGCCTGCCCTGGTGCGGAAGCCTGTATAGTTTTCCTAAAGCGTCGAAACAATTTTAGAAATATTGTTGTGATTCGTTTATCAAGTGTAACATACGTTGGAATGTTTGATCAGAATTGCTTCGTACGAATTGTTTCTGATGACAGCAAACCTCTTTGGTAGGATTTAATTCGCAGTGGAACTTCGGAACAAATATAATATTAACAGCAGATTTGACTCCTAGATTTTGTAATTTCGAAGACTACGACGGCATCAAAAAATATTAACGTGTATCAAACGAGATAGTTACTGGGTTTCACTGACGTTCTGGAAGAGTCTATGCTTGGATAAAATTGATTTTAGTTCATCTAATTTTATAGTTGGTGAGACTTGAAGCCCTAGCTCTAGTGGAATAGTTAAAAGTCATTTGCTTTGCCATTATTTGGTCCTGATTGTTAGTAATTTTCCAGGCTTTGCATTTTATTATTATTATTCAAATATTCAAGCGATGACACAGGGCATCGTGCCCCACTACTTTATTCGGAATCACTAATACTACAGTTTTTAGTTGTATGTGTTGTGCCATTATCAACTAATATTCAATATTGTGGTGTTGATATTCTTCGTTAATTTCAAACAATTTAAATAAGCACTCATACTGCACTACGATCACGCTGTTGTCAAAATATCCATGAACACCCAAGTGAGCGGGCGATAGTAAAATATTCGACATATCGAATGTCGTTTAACAAATCGGAACAGTACTGTACGACATTCATCCACTCGCGCTCATTTAATTGAAAGAACGGGCTCGAATACTGCTGAACAAGAAAGTCCGAAACCACCACACTTTTGCCATTATATTTTCTAAAGAAAGGGATGATATCATCAATAAATCAACACTTTCGATGAACATCTCCACTACGAAAAGTCGACTCGTCATGACCTACAAAAGGGTGTCAGATCACTGCCTTATTTAAGAATTAAAGTTCATAGATACTTAATAGTGCCGCAGTAAAAACTCTAAAAGTGTTCGAGTGCAAAATGCTTCCTTCAAAAGTTGTTGCCATTTTACTGAATTTTCCACCCATTCCTAGATGTTTATCGAAAAAATCAAATTATCGAATTGCGGCTTGAATTTTTGCTTATAGGTAGCTCGATGGACCGTTAAAATATTCTGAAATTTTCAGCTAAAAATAATATTCCTTTGTCGAGATATTGAGTTTTCCAAAAAGACTCGATTATCACAGATAGGTCACAAAAACCAAGTTCAGTTGAAAAATCAAGATCTCAAGAAAGGAACATTCGTTTTAGCTAAAACTTTCAAAATATCGTAAAGATGGTTAGACTAATCTACTGAAAAACATTTTCGGTCGAAATTCGATAAATTGATTTTGTGATAAATACCTACTCTGAAAAAAATAAAGGAGGTTTACAGAACCTTTTCAGGTTCCCTCGTTAGTATCAAAACGAGCATTCTACTGCAGTAAATCAAATCAGCAGCTTTCGGTTAATCTAATTAGATTTGAATCAGTTTTTTGAATATCGTTAATTTCATAATATCTTTTATCGATAAATTGTGCTAATTCATAAGCTGTAAAACTGGGGGCCTTCTGATTACATTGAATAACAACAAACATTCTAGCTTCTTCTTCAGGTTTAGAATTAACATCATAAAAATTGCCACCTTGTTTTCCAGCTCTCTTTTCACAAACAAATTCATCAAATCTTCTATTTATGTATGTATAATACTGATATCTCCCATAGGCTTATCGCCCAATGGGGCCGGCGCTAAAAGGTCTACAAGCAGCCAGGTTCTATCGGTTTTTCTCTTTTACAGAGGACGATATCTGCACTCCATTCGTTCAACGCTTGCTCGTTAATGATTATGGGTTGACGGTCATCATAGGATCACGTGTCGTGACATCTATGTTGAAGTTGTTTTCACTCTGCATACTGGCTAATGGTATAATCGATATGCTTTCGGATGAGTCATCTGGAACCATCAGCTGTTAGTAACTTGTTCAGGGTTATTCCATGGTTAGTGATACTGTGGTTTGAACACAGCATCTTGTGAATACGTGTCGAATAACATATCCACTCAATCATGGTGACTTTCTGTATGTATTTAACCAATTATAAGCTGTCTGTTTCTCTAGTAAAGTAGCCAATAGCCTTTAAAAATGTACCCGCATCTTGACATGATATATTGAAATGGCGTAAGGTAAAATAAATGAGGACACTTAGATATCGTATATTGCAATAGCATTTGTAAAGTTCATAAATATCAGCAATACCAGAAATCTTCATTTTATCTTTAAAATTAAAATCATTAAAATCTAATATCTCAGCATCACTGATGTTCACAGAGTAGATACTATCATCACTAGACGAATGATTTTTTGATGATCAACGTTTTCTTACAGTAATAACGGAGTGTGATTGTCGTCTCGAGTTAGGAGGCATTGATAGATGAAGTCAGATCGATTGTCCGGTACAAAACAGAAAAAATGGCAACGTGTGAAAAATTCAAAGGCTTCACTCATCTGATAAAAACGGTTCGCGCAATCCCTGGAAGATTAAAATGTGCAACACGATGAAGCTCCTTTTCTGGAATCCGCGTACCACGGACAGTGATGGTCTGCGAAGCTTCTCTGCCACAGTCTGCATTATGATGTTTGAAGTCTCTAGAAACCATCGTAGACTGTTACAGAGACTTCAGAAACCATCACACACCGTGGCAGAGAATTCAAAAACCATCACAGAGCGTTACAGAAAAACAAATTAATTAATCAATTTCTCTGTAATGGTGTGTGAGGGGAGTGGGTGATGGGCCCAAATATCTACTCCGTATACTTGAACACTGCTTTCAGGTCGTGTTTCACAAAATATAACCCATGCATAAATTTTTATGGGTGTAAATGTGATGAACATACATCTTTCATAAGCTACAAATTGATGTCACTGAAATGTACGATTCTCATTAACTTATCTAATAGTTATTCCACTTTCAGATCAATCACTAATAGCCAAGAAACATGCATAAAAAACCAGCATCACACATCGTTTGAGATAACAGTTTTAGATATCATAGTAGATAAGTTTTTGTGTAAAATTGACTTCAAAAAATGCTCTATAAAGTCAGAAAATGCTACAAAAATATTTTATTCATATCTAGTTGCCTTTTTACCTATAAGTGTTCAACTACATATTGCATTTCAATCGACACTAGCTGCATGCACTAAAATTGACAGTTTCTTGTAGGATATATCATCAGAAAAGATTACACTTCTCAGCTATAGTGTGTCACAGAAAACAGAATCGATGCATACGTTTTTCTCGTATCAAGACGAGTAGAATGACATAAAATTATAAAGGAAAAATTGAAACTACAAACAGTGCGTAGTTTTGCAACATCACTCAATTGCATTCCGCCAGACCTTGTCTTTGGACTTAACAAACTTTTAGAGATGTCTTATATGAACAACGTCAAAAGTACATCATTAGATGCAATTTTTCACATTGAATCCAATGTACACGTTTTCGAATGATTTACACAAAGAAGTCGAATAAAAAATTCAACATTTGTCTATTGTATAGAAAAATCGACTTGTTNCAAGTCGATTTTTCTATACAATAGACAAATGTTGAATTTTTTATTCGACTTCTTTGTGTAAATCATTCGAAAACGTGTACATTGGATTCAATGTGAAAAATTGCATCTAATGATGTACTTTAAAGTACATCATTAGATGCAAGTTTTAACACTGAATCTAATGAACATGTTTTCGAATGATTTACACAAAGAAGTCGAATAAAAAATGCAAAATTTATTAAAAAATTCAACATTTGTTTATTGTATAGAAAAATCGACTTGTTCTGAAAATTTGATCATGTTATAAGAAATCAAAATTCTTTAATGTAGATATTTTTGTAGAATTCGCTGAGCTCTTTCGAAGAATGTAAAAATTTAGCGAAAAATAAATTGGTACGATTGCAGAATTAGTGTATCTCACTCTAGTTGAAATATAAAAAATACAAACACTTTGAAGAATATTCGCATCTGTTGAAAGACGAGCACATAATGCACCACTATTATTTCCAGATCGATCAAACCATCCGACTTCTTGTCGTAACATAGAACTGAAGGCTTTCATGCGTAGACGTTTAATCAAAGCACAGCCAGAAATGGAAAATAAGACACTCTGCAAAAGTGTTGTAAAACAAATAATCAAGCTAAACAACACCATTAAACCACATGCATACAGTACACGTGACATTTGTAATGAGAAATTACATTCTTGAATAGCCTAAATTCTCAAATAAATTGAAATTGATATGCAACATCGTGGAAATAAAATGAGAAATTGACTTGCATTAGCTGCTTTTGCCCGTAGAATAGAAAGCACCATTTGTGACAAACCTGTTCCCAAACACGCTAAACAACCAAATAAGATTATAGGCCATTCAGGTGCACTCATTAAAAATAGGGAGTACAATACTCTAAATCCTTGTTTCTAAATCAAAAAGATTGATAACAAAAAAATGCAATTTATTGAGAAAAAAAGACATACTTTTTTTGGTGTTTCATTTTGATTTATGTCTAGTGTTTCTAAACCGACACTGGATGAGAAGTGCCGTTCTAAACGGATTTATTATGTTGTTTTTCATTTTCATAGGTGGTTTATCTTATGTTTAATTACTTGGTATACCGTGAGATTGTGTCGAAACATTTTCTTGATCGATTTTGTTTAATCCAGGATCAAAATAATTACTGTCAGCAACATCCGATTCTAGAATCATAGACTGTAATTCAACCAGGCGTCGATATGAACCATTCTTAGACATGAGTGTTGCATGATCACCTTGTTCTACTATACAACCATTTTCTAGTACATAAATGCGATTACAACGTCGGACTGTCGACAATCGATGTGCTATAATAATAACACTGCGATTTGAACATGCTCGATCAAGTGCTTCTTGTATTATTCGTTCGTTAGCATTATCTAGAGCGCTTGTTGGCTCGTCCAGAAGAAGTATTGACGTCTTTTTAATCAGAGCTCGCGCTAGAGCAATACGTTGTCGTTCGCCGCCTGATAGATCGATACCACATTCGTTGATGTATGTATCATATTGCTAAATGTAGTAGTAGGAAATCTTAATAAAAAATATAACTGAACTCAATCGCAAATATAAGTGTTACTTTTGGTAAAGCCATGATGAAGTCATGTGCATTTGCTTCTTTGGCAGCTTCATAAATTTCATTATCAGTTGCATCTGGCTTTCCATCACGTATATTTTCTCGAATGGACTTTGTAAATAAAACGGCTTCTTGATTGAGAACAGCAATTTGATCACGTAACCAATTTAAATTATAGCTATCAATTAGAAGACCATCGAGAAAGATTTGCCCTTCAGTTGGTTCATAAAGACGAGTCAGCAATTGAATACACGTACTTTTACCTGTATGAAGAAGAATATAACATAGAGAATTTCGCTGACTAATTTGTACAGCAAGACGAGATCTTCTTTTAATTGCTAACACAGAAAAAATGTGTCTAGTTATGTTTTATATTTAACTTAGGCGTATATTGATAGATATATCTGGTCGCTTTCTTCAAAAAGATATGCGACTTGAATTTTAAAAAATGTTCTAAGAATATATTTAGAAAAGGCTCAATCGTAAACTGAATCTGATCTAAAGCGCAATGATTCGAAATGTCCAACTATCAACTGATTGCCTTCTAGTGAATGTTTTGAAAAAACGTTTTTTGCTGCTGAAAAGATTTATAATCTGAGAAACTAGCTTTTTAAACACATTGCCGATATAAAGAAGTCAAATGGTTTGGTTTACCACCTACACACATATTCGAATTTGCGGATATACTAACTAAGTTACCACATATATTCATATGTATCACTGGACCAAAAGCGAATAGATATCTCTATTCAGTTTTAAAATGAACTAATTATTACATCATCCATTTTTTGGAAATGAACTGTATGCATGCTTCAGAAAAAAGTATTATCACATTTTATTGAAATACAATTAAAGTAATTAAGAAATATTATAGACCTTGTGCTTTGCGTATTATCTCATAAAATTAGTCGATAATGAAATTTCTATTATCATTTAGTCTATATAATCTAATTGTTCTTGGCATGCTAAATTCAACCATTCTCATCATATTAACTTATGAATCTCCAAATTCTTCTACGAAGATGTTCCATGATTACATGTTCGCCGTTTCCTAAACTAGTTTTTTCCACAGCTAAACTTTGGAATATTCTTTTACAAATATATGAAGATTAATTCAGTAAGAATAGTACAGTTGAAAAATATGCAAAAGATAAAAAAGCACGAGCCCAAGTATTTTCTCTAGAGAATCGCTAGAAAATTCTTAACATTCATATCAGATGTGAACAATGTAGTTAAAAGTTTTCTTTTTTTCTTTGATTAGCATAGATCATATCTTCGTTAATATCTTTTTCCGAATAAGAAAAAATGCTTACCACTGCCGCTATTACCAACTAGAGCGATTGTTTCGCTGGAGCCCACTTCAAAAGTAATTCCATTGAGTATTTTCACATCAGATCGAGTAGGATACGAAAAGTGAACGTTATCAAAACGAACTTTGTTGATACTGCAATCATTGCATAAACCTTTACGATCTATTTCCGTTGCTTTCAGTGACTACAATAGTATCGTTCTTGAAAAAATTGCATACAAAAAAGAAAAGATTATATACTTCATCATCGATTAGTTTCCAAATTTCGGCAGCAGCACCTTGCGCTTCAGCAATATATTGTAAGTGAATATATGCAGCAGGGATTAGTATGCCGTTGGAAAATAAAAGCACTATCTAAACGTATTGTATAAAATGAGAATGGTGAACATAATTGAACAATATCATCCAAGCTACTGAATAAAATTTATGCTCAATTATTGAGGGGTGTCCAAGGACAGAGGACTTGGAACTCTTTCGAATCCTCAGAAGACCAGCAATACGGCAGCAATCACTAGAGGAATTGGGGGTTATCCCTTGAACCCAACACAAATCCCCATCAATACCGACCAAAATACCAATCAACTTCTCAGCGTCAAATCCTGCTCCAAAAGATACTACACAAAAAAATTGTTAGCGCAGCCCCTTTGGAGCTAAAATGGGGAATACATATATCCCTTAGACTTCCTAAAACAATTCAAAATAGTTCATCTGAAAAATCTACCCCGATTTCAAACCTATAATTAGACCATTACCTATTTGCTTATGTCTATAATGAAGTATTAATTGTTAGCTCGTATATTTAACAATGGCAGAGACTAGTTTCTATGGTCTGTAATGGGCAAACATTGCTTTTTCGTGTAGTCCGTAATTAAAAAAGGAAGAAATAGCAGCCTTATTAGTCAAGCTCCTAATTAGCACAATTTTAAACTCATTAATGCCTGAAACGGAGAGGGGTGGGGAGCCGCAAAAATCTCGCTTTTAAACTTAAAATCACCATTTTCTTGGAAAATATATGTGAGTTCCACAAAATCCCTATACAATAACTCGATTCCTTCCGAAGGGGTTGCCTACCAACAGTGTAACACACAAACTCCGGAGATAAAAACTAGAAATTGATGGCAATCCCTGAAATAGAAATTAATGTATACAAACCCACACATAGTAAAAAAAACATTAAGAATTGACTACCAATTATACATACAGTCAGAGCTATCCAAGACTAACCTGTGAACCTTATCGAAAGCAACATAGTGACATCAAGATGTTCCTAACCAAGCTACCTTCTAGGAATTCGCCCGGGGGGGGGGGGGGGGGGGGGGGGGGGGGGGGGGA